GGGGGGGGGGGGGGGGGGGGGGGGGCGTACGCATTGTTGGCGTTTCCCTTGTTATGCGGTCTGCATACCATCTCACACTGGCCAGTGCTGCAGGCATGTCACGATTTTCTTCGAGTATCATAAAGTATTTTCAAGAGCAGGAGTTACTGATCCTGTTGATATTGGCACTGCTGCGGTTTGTGCTGGGGCATGTTACATAGTGACCTGCTTCCCTCCCTCTGCGCCGCCAACCCTTGCCCCTGCCAACGACAGCGACAGAAGCCCTTGGTGTCGTTGCTAAAAAATCTCTGATTTGCTTTGGTTAGCCACGCCTTCTTGGGCATACATAAGTAGAATCACCTAATTTGCTCAAGCATTTCTTTTAAGGCGACCAAACCAAAGGTATATGATATGAGTTCACCAGCTGATAGGGCGTGCTCTGGAGAAGCTTTCTAGATCCCACGACAAAAGCCTAGCGCTTGCTCAGAGGCTCGTGAGGTAAGTTCGAAATGGATTAAAAGTGGCGAAATACAGTGCAAAACTAGTTGACGTACCTAGTTCCTGGCATGGCCCAAAATCCGGTAGCTATGACGGCTTTCAAGTGTTCACCCCAACCCTGAACCGTAGCCCGAAACCTCAAACCAGCAACCCCGAACCCCAAACCATAAACTATTTCTGGACTTTCCTCCAAAGGGAACTCTGCGGCTCGTTGCTTGGAGCTGCATTGTTACTAATGACAAAAAGGAACTGCTAGCCGAGACCCACCTAGTAGCCTGAATTGGGTTACAGGGTCCGCATCAATGGTTACATAGGCCTGGGTAGAGGGTAGTTGAAGGGTCTATGCGTACAAGATTAGCCACGGTTGCTGACTTAACCTCATATGGGTATGCGCTAAGAGCAGAGACCTCTGCAATCCCATATGTCCCTGCAAGGTTCACTGACAGGATAACCTGGGGCCGAAACCAGGACTGTGAGTCAAGGTGCCAAAGGGCTGCTCCTGTTCGCTGCTGCCCTGCAAAGGAACTCCTCAAGAAGATGCGTGGTGATTGCAGTACACAGGAAGTCTGAAACCCCAAAAAGTTAAAACAATGGCCAGTTCGGCTTTTGTTGTGGCGTTGCAGCCAATATCTTCTCTTACCTGCTTGCCGGATCTAGGCACGAGTACTTCTCGCCACTGTGGAGTTCCTAAACGGCTCTTCATCGAAAAGTGGTCACTGGCATGGGTGCATAGTACATCGGAATGGCGGCGGCTCTAAACAAAACAGGGCAACTTCTACGAGAGCAAGGATTAGGCCCAGCATATTTGAAGAACAATTCTCACATCTTGCCTGGTTGATCATGGCGCTTGATCCACGTCCGGCAATGAAAAGGAATTTCGTTGCCAGCAAAGATTCTGGAACGAAGCACGCACGCAAGGACTGAAGAGGAACACGAGGAACACGATGAAGGCCACAGGTCTAGATAGTTTCGTCGTATTCATGGGCAAGATTGATGGGGACTACTTTGTTTGGGACGTGTTTTCCTAAGCCCCAGACACTCTGGGCTCAAAAGCAAGCTCAAAACCCAAGCACCAACACTGTAAAAGCACGAACATTCAAGCCCACCTCCTCAATTTTGGAGGAGCCTTGCGCAGCCGAGGTCATGTCAATAACGCGGGATGTAAGCAAGCAGGATCGTCAAGGAAAAAAACCGGGAAGCTTTAAGATTTCCCTAGCAGCCCAGGTACCCATGTAGTAGGTT